AGAGAAAGAGGGAGGAGTGACCCACGACCGAAGCGGGTGGGGTCAGAGTCGGACCACATGCCTCGGTGCCTCTCTTCTTTCCAGCTGGGGAAGTAAGCCTTCAAAGCATGGTCTGGAATATTCCAGAGCGCCAGGGAAGCAGTGTGGGGCGCCTACCAGTGCCCGGAGGTGCATGCTTCTCTCCCAACGAGATGTAGGACCTCCACTGGTGCCATTCCACACCATCTGTTAAATCCCCCAAGAAAAGAAGCCCTCCTCCCTGCCCCCCGTGGGGGCTGCCCCAGGAAAGCTGGACCCAGGCAGACCTTTGACGAGGTCCTACGCCTGAGGGAAGATGCCTCCGTCTTGCATCATGGGGTCAGGTCAGCATGTGGAGATGAGTTCTTCCTCTGTGCCCTCTGAGGTCACCCCCACGTCCAAGTCCAGGCTTCTCTGTCCTATCCAGGGTCCCCAGTAAAGACGCATCCTTACTAGCTCAGAAGAGGAACTTGGAGATGGCTGTTGACTGTTTCGACACCACCCCCCTGGCGGGTGTGCGGACATTCCCTTCCTGGCAGCCGCTGGAATTTCACAACAGACGCTCCTCTTAGCAAGGTGCCAGGGGAAGCCAGGCCTTGCCGGCCAAGCCCCTAACACAAAGAGGCCTCATCCTTGGGGAGGGAGGGGGGCCACCTTCTTCTCTCATCACCTCCACCCCAAAGCTGCTGGAGTTCTGCTGACAAGTCGTAAGAAACGGCTGACGCCTGACTCATCGGACAGAAGTGAGTGTGGCGGAGGCCCAGGTGGTGAGCCCCGGTGTGCTGGGTCATCCCCCAGGGCACCGCGGCTGAGGATCCCCGGGCTGACCTCGCGCCGCCCTTGACTCCCAGCGCCCAGCGCCTCGGGCAAGTCCTGCCTCTCTGAGTAGCTTGGGGACAAGCTCTAGATGCTGTCAGGATGCCAGGGAGGCAGCCACACGGGGAGGTCTGCCAGACGCCTCTGGGGACATCTGGCTCCTCCGTGGAACAGGCAGGGACGCTGAGGCCCGGAGACGGGAGTCTCAGGGGCCTGGAGAAGGGAAGCGGAGTGGGCGTTGGAGGGGTGCTGTGCGGGCGGCCCCGGGACGCTGCGTGCCGACCCCTCAGGCTCGGTGTAACAGACACTGTTCATGTCCATCCCGTGTTGGCATTGCTGCAGTGGGACACAATAGGAGCAGCGTGACTCACTCCTGCCTCGTGACACAACCCACTTGTCCCTTGCAGCAGGGACTGGGCGGAGGGGACTTTAAACTCAGTTGGTGTGGTTCAGCCCTTGCTTCAAACTAGAGATCACGGGCCCCAGCTCAGCAGAACAGGGACGGTGTGGTCCTGTGAGTCCTGATCCTCTCTCCAGAGGGTGAGCAGCTGGGTGTAGACAGACGTGGTGGGCTCAAGATTCCGAGCAACTGGGAATGTAGGTTTCTTTTCTTTCTTTTTTAATGTTTATTTGCTTTTGAGACAGAGAGAGAGACAGAGGGTGAGCAGGGGAGGGGCAGAGAGAGAGGGAGACACAGAATCCAAAGCAGGTTCCAGGTTCTGAGCCGTCAGCACAGAGCCTGATGCGGGGCTCGAACCCACAAACTGTGAGATCGTGGCCTGAGCCGAAGTCGGACGCTTCACTGACTGAGCCCCGAGAATGTAGGTTTCTCAAAGTGAGGGCATGTTACAGTTCATGGAATCTTCACTTTTTGAGGTAGAAACATGAAATTGGCTCTATTTTTCTTCCCGTGACTGGCCTCTGACTGTGCCCAGGGATGGTGCACTTTAGCGGTCAAGGCCAGACTCCCTGAGTTCACATCCTGGCTTTGCCACCTCCTGACTGTGTGACCTTAGGTAAGTTGTCTAACTTCTCTGGGCCACAGATTACACATCTCTCCATCCCTCTCCCTCCAGTCTCCCCCCAAAGGTGATCCAATCATCAGCCTCTTACTGCTAAGTTTCCCTCGCCTACTGGGAGCCCTCCAGGGTCAAGGATCGACAAATCAGCTCAAGTCCAGCTTTGGTTGCTAGTACCACCCACCCCCACCCCCACCCCCACCCCCAAGGAGCTCACATCTTCTCTCAGCCCTAGCAGGGCTCGCAGGGAATGGGGAGCAGGTGTGCTGGCCGAGCAGAGTGACCTGAGAACACCACAGTGACACCCCCCCCCCGCCCCCAGCAAGCATCCAGTCTAAATAAGGGATTCTCTTAATGCCCCTCTGCCCTTGGCTCTGGGCGACAGAGGAGAGCCATCTGGGATGCTGGACAAGCCCCTCGTGGTTTCCCAGCCTTACTGTGTTGGGGGAAGGGGCAGGTAGGAAGCTCTGCCAATTCTGGATGGACCCCTCCCAGCAAGCCCCCCAGGGTGGCTGCTGGGCCCCATCCCTGCCAGTTCACTGTGACTCTTATTATAGGAGCAGGTACGTCATTGATCGCCTTTTGTCCCCAGAGTTGGGTCTCAGCCGCAGTCTGGGAACATAGAAGCCCCACCTGGCACCCCGCTGTCTCTTGCTATCTGTATTGGTTCTTCTAGCTTCGGCTCCCACCCCTGCGCCGCCCCTTACTTACCCTGTCTGGGTCTCGGCTTCCCCTTTGGTGAAATGAGGGGTGTGTGTGTGCGGGGGGGTCGGGGGGGATGACCTCTGAGCCCCTCCAAGAACCCACCCTGGGGCGAAAGGGGAGAGATCAGCCTGCAGGGGCCAAGGGTCCCTTGACGACATCTGGGCCAGCCAGCATGCCCCACAGTCATCCCTGTGAAGGGGCCTGAGCGTCCAGCCCTTCCAGAAGGTTCTGTGAGCTCTGCATCTGAATAGCTCGGAGCTGGACGGGGTATTGCAGTGGGGCTGAAGGCGGAAGACTGAGGGTGTATCACAAATACTCAGGGACCAGCCCATCCAGGCGAGGGCGGCAGGGTCCGTGGACTCACTGCCCGGGCCACCCGTAGACGAGTCAGCAGAGGGCCCAAAGGTGACTGGGAAAGTTGCCCTGCAAGGGCCCGAGGACACCTTTGGGCTTCCAGATGCCACTAATGGAAACACTCAGTGTCCATGGTCCTGAATCACCAGTGAAAGTTTTTCTGAACTCAGTCCTTGGCCTCAGCAGCCAGGAGATAGTGGGACCTGGCCCTGGGCTCCAGAGTCTCAGTCCTTGGCAGCCCCTTTCCTGCACCCAGATGCCGTCTCTTCTTTCTGGAATGTTCTTCCCCTCACTTCTCTCCTAGCTCCCTCACCCAGTTTAAATGTCCCTTCTGGGAGGCTTCCCAGCGACCCAGAGTGGGCTCTCTATTTAGCTGCCAGTACCATCTCTGGTCATTGGGTTTGTTTTTTTTTAATGTTTATTTATTTTTGAGAGAGAGAGACAGCATGAGCGGTGGGGGCGGGGGGTGGGGAGAAAGCAGAGAGAGAGAGGAAGACACAGAGTCCGAAACAGGCTCCAGGCTCTGAGCCGTCAGCACAGAGCCCAATACGGGGCTCGAACCCACGAACCCGGAGATCAGGACCTGAGTCGAAGTCAGACGCTTAACTGACAGAGCCCCCCAGACACCCCGTACCATGTCTGTTTTGACAGCATCACCTTTTATGATGACCTCTTTCTTGGTATGTTCAAGTGTGGAGTGTCAATGGCTGCCTCTTTTCACTGCAGTGTCCCTTGTCCTGGGTGCTTAGTAGGTGGTCAGTAAGCCTAGGAGAGTGGACGCACGCTGCTTCCCGGGAGCCCCACGGTGCCTGGCCCAGCGAGGACCTCACTGGCGTGCAGTCTGCTGGACAGCTCACAAAGGGCTTGTGTTCCCTTTGGCGCGTGGTTCCTCCCACGCTGGGGAAGTGGGGGTATTTGCCTACCCGGGGCCTCCCTGAGCCCAATGTTCTGGTCACCCAGCTGGCTCTGCATTAGGATTCCACGGTTTTGCATGTCGTTTGCATGGCTCAGCTCTGGGCTCTGTGCTTCTGCTTGTGGTTTCCTGGTCCATCCCCAGTTCCACAGGGCTGGACCGTCGCTTCCTCGGCCCCGTTCCAGGGCCTGACGGGCCAGCAACGGGGTGCGCCCTGGGAGGGGTGAATGCGGGGAAGTGTGAATGTGGCCCAGGCTGTGGCAGGATAGCTTTCGTGTCTGGAAAGCTTCCTGGGCCATCCACCATGGCATTCTTCCCGACGCCCCTATACGGTCAGTACAGTGCTACCCCCACTTCACAGATCAGTAAACTGAGGTTTGGAAGAGGTAACAAGTCTGCCTAAAGGGACACAGCTGGCAAATAGCAGACTCACACTCTGAGCCCAAGTCTGTTGCTGTGAGGGGCTGGGTTTATTGACTGTGCTAAACCACTGCGTGGCTTCCGGGGGCCCCGGGAGCCCCCCCACATTGGCTGAGAAGCTGGGCTGGCCCTCCTGGAGGCTCTCGGCATCTGGCGCTTCTCCTAGTTCCCCATCTGGTGCTCAGAAGCCTTTTCTTAAAACCCCTCCTCAGTGGCTTTAAGATTCTGATTGTTCTCTTGGGCGCCTGGGGGGCTCAGTTAGTTAAGCGCCCGACTTCGGCTCAGGTCATGATCTCACGGTTCGCGGGTTCGAGCCCCGCGTCGGGCTCTGTGCTGACAGCTCAGAGCCTGGAACCTGTTTCAGATTCTGTGTCTCCCTCTCTCTCTGACCCTCCCCTGCTCGTGCTGTCTCTCACCCTCTCTCAGAAATAAATAAAACATTAAAAAAAATTTTTTTTAAAGATTCTGATTGTTCTCAAGGAGTCCGCATGCCCTCTGGCATCTGGCTACTCGTGGGGACGCGTGCCCCTGCGCAGTGGGGCTCCCGCCCCTGGCGGCCTGCGTCTCTGTTGGGCTCCAGCTGCTGGAAGCTCCCCGCCTCCCCGCCACGCCCTTGGCATTGGGGCTGCAGCAGGGCTGATCGGGCTGGGCTGGGAGTGCGTGTTGACCACTCTCTGCTCTGCTAGGCCGTTCGCTCCCGGAGCGTGGGGCTCCCCAGATTGACCGCTGTCTGTCCCCCGCCCCTCCCCGTGCAGGCGATGACTCAGGATGCAGCCAGGGGCCACGACGTGCACGGAGGACCGTATCCAGCACGCTCTGGAACGCTGCCTGCACGGCCTCAGCCTCAGCCGCTGCTCCAGCTCCTGGTCAGGTAGGTCTGGGGGGCGGGAGGGGGGCGTGGGGCCCGAGAAAGCCTCAGGGGCTACGGTGAGCACTGGGCAGCTGACCGAAGCTGCCAGGTTGGGGTTCTGACCCCGTCTGTGCCGTGTCGCAGGCCCCGGGCCTCTCGTGGGCTGGTGCTCAGCACAGCACCTGATGATAGTAGGCCCTCAGCAGACAGCAGTCTGCGCTCCCACACCTTCCTCCTCCTCGGGGCTCTAACTTGCTTTCTTCCCATGGGCCGGAAGCACAGCTCCTTGAAGAAGCTAGCAAACCTGCTTAGAAATACCACAACTGCCAATTCCAGCAAGCTAGCTAGGACTTCGGAGATAGCTCTCCCCGGAACGGTTCACTTCGTTTCTAGTTCCTTCCAGATATAGGCTGGGCCCTCTGAAGATGGGGCCTACTTGTGATCATTTCTCATGCTTCTCAGATTTTTCACATCTCCTGCCTCACTTGCCTCGCTAACTACCCCATTAGATATCTGCTGCTCCTTGAACATACCTGGTTCTTTCCTACCTCAGGACCTTTGCACCTGCTGCCCGGAACTCTTCCCTCAGAACTGCCCATAGCTGGTTCCTTCTCACCCAGGTCTCAGCCCCAATGCCACCGCCTCTGAGAGGCTTTCCTCCATCTTTGAAATTCAACAGATCTGTATTAAAACTGTGTCTCATTGGCTGCTATAATCTCATGCAAGCCGCTTAACCTGTCACGACCCACGTGCCTTGTCTGTAAAGTGAAAGTAGCAACCACAGGAACCCCTTCCTGAAGGGAGGATAGGAGATTCAGTGGAGATCATGTGTGCAAGAGCCTAGCACCTTATTGGCACACAGTAGGTGCTCAGTAGATGGTGGTTTGCTCCCTAGGTTTTGATGAAGCCTCAGGGTATAGAATTGAGGCGGTGTGTGTGTGTGTGTGTGTGTGTGTGTGTGTGTGTGACATCATTAGGTAAAAAAACGCAGAAAGATCTGACTTTTGCAAATTTTTTTCTACATTCAGTTTTGAGAGACAGAGACAGAGCATGAGTGGGGAAGAGGCAGAGAGAAAGGGAGAAACAGAATCTGAAACAGGCTCTGAGCCGTCAGCCCAGAGCCCAACGTGGGGCTCGAACCCACAAACCGTGAAATCATGACCTGAGCTGAAGTCGGATGCTTAACTGACTGAGCCACCCAGGCGCCCCCTGACTTTTGCAAATTTTGTAAGAACCGCTCTCTGCACGTAAGCACTGTCTGGGCCTCCCCAGCCTTGCAAGGAGCCCGCGCGCACATCAAGGCTCCCGGAGCCTGGGCTCCGTGAAGTTCACGGTCAGTCCATTTCCACCGGTACTTGCGACGCCCTCCGCTGCGCATGCGCCTGTGTGCACGTGGACACACGGGCCTCTAGGCCCGCCCCTGCCATCTCTAGGGGTTTACCCTTGCTGACTGCGGGGAAAGAGAGCCTGACAGAGTGAGAAAGGCTGGGGAAGTTCTAGAACGACAAAGGGCTCACTCTGGCTTTCAAATGGCAGATGGATGTAGCTTCCCCCTTCCTGGGCCGCTGCGGCCGGGCAGTCCTGGGAAGTCCCACGGCTGTGCTAGACTAGGCCTTGCCTCCGGTGGGCGGGGCTGGCTGCGGCCCCGCCCCTTATTCTCCCAGCACCCTCTGCGGCTGCCTGCCTGCCCTGCACCGTGCACGTGGCGGCACCTGCTGTAGGAAACGTGGTTGGGGGGGGAAGAACCGTAGCTCTCCAGAGGTGGGGCGTGTG